GGAATATATGATCTCTTATCTAATGGACACGTCATTGACTAGATCAGAGTTCGACAACGGCTTTTAAGAGCTACGATTGCTAGTCGGGTCGTACTTGCAATAATAGTTATTAGACTTATCCAAGTGGGAGACTGTTGGATTGGGTGTCTAAGCCCATAACTATAATTGGTATGTACTTGACCCGAAAGTAGCATGGTCCATTTGGGTTGCCTTCACCAGGACAATTTGATGGATTTTTGAGAAGAGCTTATTATGATGTGTTAATATATTATAAGTTATAATATATTAATAATCATATAATTTAATTAGTATTGATCAAGAATTAATTTGGAATTAATTTTGTGATCAAAAGAGTCTAATTAGATATATGGGGATTGATTTGGTAAATCGATAATTCTTATAGTGTGGGCCAATTGTTATGGGCTAAACCAATATGGTGGTCCATGGATAGTCCATGGAGGTTTAACCCATTGAGCCTAAGGAAATGAAAGGTCATGGGCATTAGGGTTTTGCATGGATGAAACCCTAGACCTTGTCACACTATAAAAAGGACCCATAGTCACCAAAATCGGCACCTATGCATTCTAAGGAGGAGATAGCCGATTTTGTGTGACAAGAAGCTTCTCTCAAAAAGTCATCTTTTGTTCATGGTGTTTGTGAACCATTTGAGGTGCAACACTTGGGGCACTAAGTTCTTAAAGGCCAAAGTGATTCAAGCAACACCAAACACATCAAGACTTCCAGCCACATAAAAGGTATGTTACACTAACTAGTATCTTGTGTAGTTTACATCTTTGCATGCAAGTTATAGGCTTAATACCTTGGAAATCATTTTCATGCATAATTAGTGAAAACATAGATCCAAGGTATTTAAGGTTGTATGTGCACCATAGGATGTTGTAGTATACTAAAACCCATCAGATAGGTCCCCGATATATTGGTCCGTTCAGGGTGATAGCCCGGGGTGGGCAGAGTTGCGTACCGCTTGGATCTACCAGAGGAGCTTAACCAGATCCATAGCACTTTCCACGTCTCTCAGCTGAGAAAATTTTTGGTTAATGATTTCGCTGTGGTACCATTGGAGGACATTCAGGTGGACGATTGTATGTATTATATAAAGAGACCAATGGCCATCCTTGACAAGAAGACAAAGAATCTTCGAAACAAGGTTGTGGAATTGGAAAAAGGAGCAGTGGCAACACCGAAAGGGGTCATAATGGACATGGGAGCCTGAGGAGGAGATGAGAAAGCATTACCCAACATTTTTTGTAGAGGCGGACTTCAAGGACGAAGTCTGATTCAAGTGGGGGAGAATTGTAACGCATGATTTTTCTGGTGAACTCTTAGCGAGAACTATCTCATTTATTTCTTTGACTTGGACTCGAGTATGTTGGGCGTACATATGGTACGTCGGGCGTACTCCAATGCATGCATGATGCGGGGTGTTCCCCTGGTACGTTGGGCGTACCCTTGCATACGCAGGGCGTACGTGAGTTAGGGGAAAACCCTAATTTTTAGGGTTTGCACCCTATTTAAACACATTAAGCCCCCTAAACCATCACCTTATCAACCTTCATTGCCTTTTTGAGCTAAACCTCGGAACCCTAATTTATTTCACAAAAAGATTGACCATTGAGTGTGTGTTTTGGTGTGTGTGGTGCATATAGAAGAGGAAAAAGACTTGTAGAGAAGCCTTGGACTAGAGGGAGCTTGTAGATCAAAAAATTTCAGCTTATTGGAGGTATAAAGTCTGAAACTTGTTCATCCTATGTCTAGATCTAAGTTTGGGGAAGAATTTAGCATATTTTGGTCCCATAGATGAACTCTTATGAGTAAATTCTACTCCTGATGTTATGAGGTGTCCTTTTGATGTTTTGAGGTCCTTGATCCATAAAGCTTGTATCTTGATGGTTGTAGATCAACCATGCATGAGTTAGTGACCACTTAATGGAAGTAGAGTGCTAAATCTATGACTTGAGTCCCATTAAGGCATGCTAGGGAATAAAGTTGCCAACTTTATTGTTTAGGACGTCTTTAGGAGGCTAGATCTGAAGTTGGACGTTAGGTATTAACTGATTAAGACCTTAAAAGGAGAACTTGGCCAACTGGGCGTATGTCGGGCGTACGCAGATGTACGCTGAGCATACACCTCTGGGATCCCGATCCTGTGAAGAATTCGAGTACGCCGAGCATACTAATGGTAAGCTTAGCATATTCACCATAGGGTTTTGGGTTTTAGTTTCAGGCCATCTTGCTTGGACCATAAGTCTTTCTGAATTGGGCCTTTACGGATTTGGGCCCATATTGGACCTGGAATGTCTTTTTGGACTTGGGGCTAGTTTGGATTTGGGCATTGGTATGTTAGGCCCAATAAGGGAAGAGTAAAGCAACCTTTTACCCTTAAAGCTGGGATTTATGATTTGGAATCTCGAGTTGGGTTAATGACCTAATTGCTAATTAGGGTTTTATTATTTATGATTTAGTGAGAGGATTTCACGATTCAACAGCTCGGGTGTGACTTGTTTACTTTCAGACTGAGGTGAGTTTTCTTCACTATACTCGTGGGTCGAAGTCACCAATATAGGCCCACTAGATTATGTTGGTAGGATAATAATTGTCTTTGTGACAATTTCATGTATTGCTTGTATATGTTTGTTATCCCTGTGACTCTTACTGTTATGATTAGATGCTAGCTGTAGGGGTGAAATAGATCCGCTATCGGTTGAAAGAGACCGAATGGGTTGAAATACACACACTACTGATTGAAAGAGACCGAAGGAGTTGAAATATACTCTGTACCGATTTAAAGAGACCGAATGGGTTGAAATATACCCAGTACCGGTTGAAAGAGACTGGAGGGGGTGAAATAGACCCATATATATTTTGACTGTATGTGTGTATGGTATGAAATATTTTGGGGGAGCTCACTAAACTTTCTGCTTACGGTTTTCAGTTTATGTTTCAGGTACTTTCAGCTCGAAAGGGAAGAGTCCGGATTGATCGCACTGCATCCGCCCATGTTTTCCGCCTTATGTGATTTTGGGATTTGTACTATAATATTATTTTAATATGATACTCTTTTGGCTGTTTTTGACATGATTATGGAATGTTTTGAAATGAATTAAAAATAAAATTTTTGTCTGAAATTTTGGGGTATTACAAATTTTTAGGTCTTTCAAGTTCTAGAGCCTAATTTTTGTTAACTTACACAGAACCTCTGAAATCTCGGAGTCGGCCCCAATGGCCTTTAGGATGTTCTTCATTTGATTTTAATCGAAATGGTTAAAGATGTGCATTTATGATGTTTGTGGGGATTGAACTTTCTTGAGTGTGAAAAAAAATAAAGATCATTTTTTAGAAATTTAAGACTTTCAAGTTATTACTAGTTTTCTATGTGCAACATAAGTCGTTGTCTTTTTTTGTAAATCAAACGAAATATGTATATCAATATAAATGCACATTAAACATGTATAACCCTCAAAATGGTTGTGGTATAGATGGTCAATATGATTGAATTCCTGCTTTGAGGGCCAAAGTGTAGAATATACTGTTTCATGCCTAAATTGTACTTTTTTTTTTCATTAATAAAGAAGACTCTATTCCCTTTGGACTTAAAATATAACACACTACAAAAAATAGGTCTAAATTTTGAACTTTCTTTTAATAAAATGGATTTCGGCAATGACCTAAAACCATAATTTTCTAGAACTTTGCTTATATAGAGGGCTCAAATATGATATACAACAAAGTTTAAGTGTAAGCAATGGGAAAATAATAACAGTTATGACTTTCAGGAGCAAGACATAACTTTTTGAAATTTAAAGGCCCTTTTGTGACTTTTAGAAAACATATAAGTAACCATTTTTATGTTCTAGAAGTGATTTTGTCTTTTTTATAAGAATGCAATGCAACTATGCAAAGTTACATGGGGTCCAATTCCAAATCTGAATAGATCCACTTGGCTTTCTAGGTTTCTAGCAATAGCAAGCCGAGCCAAACACCATCAACATGACAACATGGGTCTTGTTTGGCCGACAGCCAATCCCACGAAAGACAACATTGATTATAGGTTGTTTAGTCTGTATTTTTATCAATAGTGGTGTCATAAAAAACTACGTTGCAATAAGTTTAAAAAACACGTCAAACACAATCTTTATATGAGTTCTTTAGTTATTACTATCTCAATCAATGTCAAACCATCAACATCATTTTTAGCCACTAAAATGCGTGGCTAATCAATTGGGTTGCCTTTAAAGTTTATCACATGTAATGCTAGTGTTGTTAATTATAGGTTAATTCACATGTGATGTTAGTGTTGTTAATTAATGTTGGTTCGTTCATATTTTAGGCTTGTCCTGTAAGGGTTAAGTGCAAAAAATTACACTTTTTGTTTTATTATCTTTTAATTATCGTATTCCACGAATCTAGTTAGTTATAATTGGATAATTTTCTGAAAAAAAAAATCATATTGTAGTAAGGAAAATAAAGTATGACATTTTGATAAATAAAATTTAAATTTAAAAAATTATAATAAAAGTAATCATAAACCAGATGTTCTATACATAAATAAACCAAAGTACATACTTGTTATCAATGTGAGTGGATTCAATAGCTATTAATTTGTTTATGTAAATTTACATGTTTTTAAATGAGTTTCAATTAGTTTATGCAGTGAGTTATATGATTTTTAATTGAGTTTCAACTGACATACTTTACGTAGCCAATATAACAAAATAATACCTAATCTAGTGACAATCTTGATTAAAGAAATCAACTTGTTTGTACATAAATGTTTAGTCCTTACTCAAATGTGATGTTTGAAAATTGTGAGTACAGAATGTCAACCAAGCATATATCATCCATGGCGTTTGGCCTTTGCCTTTGACTTGGTCTTCTTCCCCACCACCTACTGAAATTTCAGCCTCTGTGCCCTACATAAATAAATTCTGTATTTTTTCACGGATTCCACCCACACCCACCACAAAATTCCAAAATTAAAGTAGGCGTGTTTTACATAATCCTGCATTGAAGTCCATGGTCAAGGAAATCTTAAAATAGAAAAAGGTGAAAGGCAAACAGCTTTCATATGTTCCTATATTGAAATCCTCACCAATACTCCATTTCCTGGGTTTCACCTCTCTCCTTCGTAAATTCTGATTTCTCCCCCACGGGAAATCAAGGAAAAACAGGGGGTTTAATCATGGGGATTTGCTGTTCTTCACGTAATAAAGTTCCTACCACTATTCTCGATCCCAGTTCAGGTACCAAAGAGAAATCTTCACCTTTTTCTTACAGATTTATAGCGTAATCATCGTGGGTTTCGTGTCAAACGTTGACTTACTGTTAAACTTGCATCATTTCATCTTAATTTCTTCGTTATCATGAAAAAATTCAATCGTTTCCCCCTTTTCTTATTGAACTTAGTACACACGTTTGTGGGTTCTGTATATTCTGTTGACTTACTGTAAAACTTGTATTGATTTCATCTCAATTTTGGTAAATTTCCAGCATATATTCTCAGCTCAAGTACATCTAAAGTACTACTTCACTTTTAGTATTTCCCCCAATTCGCATGAATCCGTTTCACTTTTTTTTTCCTTCAAAAACCAATTAATTCCTCTTTATCTTATGATTCTTATCCAATCGAATCGACCGTTAGTATTTTCAAAACTACTTTTTTTTTTTTTTTTTTTTCCATTAATGGTTTTAGTTTAATCGAGATTATGGTGATACAATCGCAGGGATTTCACAGTCGGTCACCACTAACAATACTACAAGCTCATCATTGTCGTCATCACTGGGTGGTAGCAATGTCTCCCGGAACAGCCAGTTTTGGTCGGCAAGCAGCGGCGATGATCTTGGACCAGGTGGCCAGATCTTGCCTCATCCTAACCTTAAAATATACACCTTTGCTGAACTCAAATCTGCTACAAAGAACTTCAGAAACGACACAGTTTTAGGCGAAGGTGGTTTTGGAAAGGTTCATAAAGGCTGGATCGAAGAGAAATCGATTTCAAAACATGGAACTGGTTCTGTAATCGCTGTGAAGAAATTAAATTCCGAAAGTATGCAAGGAATCGAAGAGTGGCAGGTAATTACACTGTTCACCTGGGGAATCTACATCATGTGCATCATATCACACATGTGACATGTGAATGTTTTAGGGAATAAAAATGGTTAATGAAAAGCACCCACTTAATAATATAAGTTGTTGGATGCAAAATTAGTGCAAACAGAATGTGATTTGGTTATTCTTGTACTTGAAAATTGTTTACTTTTGTCCCCACATGGAATCTTTTCTGTTAGGAGCATTTGGCATTATGTAGAAAGACAAAACTACCCTTGCTAATGATGGTTAATTTTCAAACAGGCTGAGGTAAACTTTCTAGGAAGGCTTTCACATCCAAATCTTGTGAAGCTTTTGGGATATTGTTACGAAGGCAAAGAGCTTCTTCTTGTATACGAGTTCATGCAAAAAGGAAGCTTGGAGAATCATCTTTTCGGAAGTAAGAAATAACAATGTACTTTCATTTCTTTCTATTTTAACATGGTGGTTTAATTTTTTTTTTCTTATTAGCATATTGCACTTTGAAAAATCTTTCCAATTATAGAATTATACTTTGGATTTCATTTCTTTCTATTTATAGCATTTTACTTTTACAGGAGGCTCGACAGTGCAACCGCTTCCATGGGATTTACGGCTCAAAATCTTGATAGGAGCGGCTCGGGGTCTGGCTTTTTTGCATAGTGCAGATATAAAAATTATCTATAGAGATTTCAAAGCATCCAACATATTACTTGATGCGGTAAATTCATTACAACAAAATTATCTATTTTTCAAATGTGATATAGTAATCGCTAATTACTAAGAGGGTTTTTTGTTTTCCATTTTGACAGTCTTATAATGCAAAGCTATCGGATTTTGGGCTTGCTAAAATGGCATCATCTAGTCAATCGCATGTCACAACACGGGTCATGGGTACATATGGTTATGCTGCCCCTGAATACGTTACCACAGGTAATCTTAGTATAGATAAATGGTGTGTTTAAAATATTTTTGAGGTTATATATAATTATATATATAGCTGTTTTATGATTTTCAGGGCATTTGTATGTGAAGAGTGATGTGTACGGATTCGGTGTTGTATTAGTGGAGATGATAACGGGCATGCGGGCACTTGACCAGACCCGCCCGGCTGCCCAACAAAACTTAGTGCAATGGGTGAAGCCCTATTTAGCCAACCGAAGGAAGTTAAAGAATATAATGGACTCACGGTTGGAAGGAAGATACCCTTCAAAAGCTGCTGCCAATGTGGCCCAATTAGCCCTCACGTGCCTTGCACAAGAACAAAAAGGGAGACCATCAATGCAAGAAGTGGTGGCAATACTTGAAAAGGCTGATAGTATTAGTGAAAAGCCAAAAGTGCCTCGAATACATAATTCTTATAGAAATGATCGACAACAGCCTTTGCATCATCGGTCACCTCTTCATGTCAAGCAAGATGTAAGTCGGGGGAGCCAGGGCTCGCCAAGAGGGTTGTGATATATATATATATATATATATATATATATATATATATATATATATATATATATATTAGTATTAGTTATTATTATTATTTTTATTGTTGTTATAACTGATTTTGGATTTGACGTACATATATAAGTTGGTATATGAGGTATTTTTGTGAAAGTGTCAATTAATGTTCTCTATAAAACATATAATTGAGGAAATATTTTGTATTCTCTTAAAAGTTATAGTGTACTATTTGGATCTGCGATCGGTTACATGTATATAGTGTTTCCAAAAAAGAACTTGCGTCTTGTAATGATAAAGCAAGATAAAACAACAAAAGATTTAGTTGATCGATTGGTTTGAGTACTTCAGTGTAAGAATTGGTTGCATAGTAAGTTTCGTTTTCATTACCATATACGGATGAATTATAAAGCATTAATATCTTTCATTCTACCAACAAGCAGAAGAGGTTTTTTCATATCCGCTTACAGTAAGTGATTATATTAGACATGGCTATGTTAAGGTAACGTTTGGTATGTGAGACTAGACGTGACATAACATAACAAGACTGTTGAGGGTAGTGTTTGACACGGATGAACCAAGTACAAGGTGGGACATAGAACAAGTCAAATGAAATTAAATCCTTAAATCTTAATCCTATCCAAAACCATGAAACAAATAATTTATTGCTAAAATATCCTTAAATACTGTGTAATCAAACTCGCCGCTCTTTCCCATTGCTTTCTACTATCTCTGTTTTGGTCTTTCCCTGACATTGCTTTACAAAATCAAATTTTCAATTCACATAAAGAAATTCTAACGTATGTAAAAAAAGGATTAGTTACTAAATGTGTACAACAAAAACTACAATAATCGAAAATAATGATTTGAAGTTTTGAACAAATAAGATATACAAAAAAAAAAAGCTTTGATGACTAAAAAAAGCTCTTTCCCATATGCATAAGTTTTGTTTGTTAGGGAGGAAGGAGTTGTTGCTCTCCTCTCCCCGAAACCGCCATGGACATAGTCGAATCCGCCTAACCCAGATGCTACCGGACTCATCTTCCCAAATTCCTTCTTTGATTTCAACCTCCAACGGGTTCTCTAAACCGCAATACCCCTCTCTTCCTCTCTTGCTCTCATCCCACCCATCCCTCTCCTCCTCCAATTTGTTATGACTCCTTCCTCCCTTAGTACAAAGAAAAAAAAATGTATTTTTAATTTCTTTGCAATATTTCAAAAAGAGATATTTTTAAAATGTATTTTTTATTTCTTTTGAACTTGCCATCACTTTGTCTTTTTTTTTCTTATTAGTTTTAGGCCAATCCGATATGAGTTTTGTTCGAATACGTTATTTGATGTTGTTTTTTTGATATATTTTTTCGTTTTCGAGTTACACATAGGCTAATCAGATTTCGTAAACCGTTATGTCGTAAAAACCAATTTAGATTTAATCGAATCCGATAACTTAAAAACCGGTTTTTATATTTATATAAATAAACTTATGATAAGGAAAGCTAAAAACGATTCTTAAATAAACCTTTTTATTAATCTAAAGAAAAAAAATAAAAATCATTATATATTCCTATTAATTAGAGTTAGAATTATTATTATTATATCTATTTTACTATTATAACGTAAAATTAACAAATTTATTTTCTTAAGGTCTAAACGAAAATATTTTGATCCCATTTAATAGGGAAAATGACTTGTTAAGGTAATTACCTTTTCGTCTTGTTTACTTTTAGACAAATTTTTTTGTATACATTTTATCATTTAGCAAGTTAAATGGTTAAATGTATACAAAAAAAAAGTTGCCTAAATGTAAACATTTTTTTTTAGAAATTTCTTAAAACTTTTTATAATTTTTACAACATTTTTATGATATTTTTTCCTATAGATTTTCTAATACAATGTTTTAAATTTTGCTTATAATTTTTTAAAACTTTTCATATAATTTTAATACAAGTTCTTTTAAACCAAATATTTTATAAATGTTTTAAATTTTTTAACATTTTTTTTATATTTTCATATAATTTTTTTTATAACTTTCAAACAATTATTTTTAAACTTTATTTTACAACATTTTTAAAGTGTTTCACATATTTTGTATGATAATTTCATATTTTTTATAACATTTTAAAATACTTTCGTTAAATACTAGTTTAAAAAGTTGTATTAAAAATTAAAAGTTTATAAAATTATAATTAAAGTTGTAATAATTTTAAAACGTTTAAATTATATAGATTTTTTTTTGTTTTCTTATTTGCTACGTAATGTTTTTTTTAAATTTTTTTTAAAAGACCTTCCATACTTATTGTTATATATTTAATTTTATTGTTTTTTAGATACTATTTATTTTAAAAATATTGTATATGCTTAAAAATAAAAGAAAAAAATATAAGAGGCTATATAAAATATTTCACAAAACAAGAACATATTTATTAATTAAAAAGTAAAGTTTTGAATCAATCAGTATATAATTATTATTTAGGAAATTATAGATACTTTAGAAATAACATTTGAAAAATAATACAAACAAATATGAAAAATAAAATCGCTATTAAAAGTGGAGAAAAGAACTTATCAAAGTATTTTATTTTTCGTTTTGTTCACATTTAAAAAAGTTAAATTGTTAAATGTATAAAAAACCGCATAAATATGAACAAACCTACAAAGACAAAAATGATTATCATTTTCCCCGTTTAATATTATGAGAAATGTAAAAATTTTCCATTATTCGACAAACCATGGGTGTCATGGTAGCTAACACCCTGCTCCCGAGTTGTAGCAAAGAAAAGAAGAGAAGAGAAAAGAAAGTAATGAGAGAAAAAAAGAGAAAATAAATTTGTCTTTTGTGTTTCCGAGTTGGAAAGAAATGGAAGGAAAGTTAAGAGTGCGTTTAGTTGTGGAAATTTTTTCATTTTTCTAGGGAAAATTTTCAAGAAAAATGGAAATTTTGAAAACGCGTTTGGTTCGTTCAGTTTTCCAAGAAAATAAAAGTTTTTAGTTTTCCAAATTGTATGTAAATTAGAAAAATGATTTTTACACTTTTCCAAAGTTTTCTGAATTTATAAGATGAAAAATGAAAAATCGTCTGATTTCAACCAAACGCGTTTTGTATAATTTTCATTGAAAATTAAAAATGAAAACTCAACTTTATTTTCTGAAAACATATTCTTAAAAAATGAAAACAAATTTCACTCATCCTAAACATTTTCTTCTTTCTCTTAAAATCCTTCCACGTTAGGAGAGAAAGTCCTTCCATCTTTCCAATTCTTCCTTTAATGAAACTTTGGAGCAATCAGTTTTTCTTACTTTTCCTTCAATGAAACCCTGGAGCAATCAATTTTTCTTACTTTCCTCTCCCATTTCCTTAGCTTTTTCTATCCTTTAATTACCTCTGGAGCGTGGTGTTAAATGTTTTTCTCTGTCTAAAATAATTACCAAAATCCATCGTTCATGTAATCTGAATAAGCTACACGGGTACACACTACACACCTTAACGCGTTTCTGAGTATCCTTTTCAGGCAACATAGGATTACAGAATAGGAGATACTGATCGCTCCCTGATGCGGACGCAACATTCGATCTGATCGAAAACGGAAATCATTTTGACCTCTACCGGCAAACGGCCATGAAAGCTCGATGTAGAAGATTAACAAATTCTTCATCTCGTGTTATTATATTCATTTTCCTGGTAATTATTTTTCAGTTTGAATTAACTTATTCTTGTATACGTATAGTTAAATCATCACATTCTGTCAATTAGGGTTTTTGATTGAAATGGGATCTCTAACACTTACGAATCTCAAGTAACAATTCCAATTGGTTCGGGATCCTTGACTGCGTTAGCCTTACTTTAAGTAACTTTCACCCTGATTTTTGTTGTCAAACTACGACTAGTCAGATGCAAAAGTGCTACTTTTTATGTGACAAACCGAGCACCGACATATTCTGTCTACAGAATTTGTGTGAATGGTAATGGTGGTCATTAACTTGCTTTATTATAGGTTTGTAATCCATCATCAAATTTGAACTTCTCATTTGTAAATTGTAGCCCAAGCTCAAAGCCTAGACTGATTAAGGATTTGAGTTATTGTTTGTCCTAAAGCCTTGCTGGAAACTGTAAAACTTCAATTTCATTTTGATGGACTGAGTATAAATTAATGAATGATTAAATGAAAAAGGGGATGGAGATTTGACTTTATGCATCATGCCTTAGTACTTGGACTATGATATTTCTGTGAACAGAGGAATGATAATAAATTGAACTAGTTTGGGTCATAGATGAAGGCCTTTTCAAGCTATATGTCAGTTCCCCTTAAAAAGTTTGATTTTTGCCATTGTTGAGCATGTTCACCTTTCTTCTGCTTTCTATAAGTGATATCTTATTTCACTTTACCATTTGTGATAGGGAGCAAATATTAACGTCCAATTTGCTTGTGATCTTTTGTCTTGTTTAATCATGTATAACATTCCCTTTCTTGATATATTGTAATCTTAAGTTTTAAACAATCCCTTTATATTTATGTTTACAAACAGGTCCCAATTCACATTACTTTAGTAGGAGCAGATGCATTTGACACTTTAACTATGTAAGATGCCAATCTTTTTTCTTTGTTTTCACATTAAAATTTCCAACTGTTATACATATAAATGTCGCTAAACTTGTTTAAAATTCTTCTACTGAATATTTACACCTTCATCATGTTGTATTTTCTGTTCTTTCAGTCAAAAAGAGATTAATGGCCATCGACCCTTGTTTGACTGTCCCCAGTGTATAGATAAGAAGGTACCATTCTCACCTTACCTTGAAGAACATAAAATAAAGCAATTTTATCTCATGCAAGTTATGAGTTTCTTCTTGGATATGCAGGAACAAGCTAACACAAGCTCTGTGACAGCTGGAAACCATCAAGTGGAGAAGGTAATCAACCACTTTTAGTTATCTTAATGGTGCTCATCAATGATGATGTCACTCTCTTTGTAATCCAATGCAGGATATTGACATAATAGTGACATACACAGACACTTCTGGTGCCATACGTATTAAAACCATCAAATCCAAAGATTTATCTCCTTCATGGGTCTGGAAAAATCCCATTGATGACAATCAAGTCAAAGAGGAGTCAAAGTTACATACACTAAAAGATCAGCCTGACACAAGAATTGAAGCCAACAACGAGCTTTTTGCAGATATAAACAAACAACCACATAAACCATTGTTTCCTGTGCATCCAACAAAGCTCAGGCGTCAGGTAATCACCAACTCCTTTTCTGATAGTAATCACCAATTCCCTTTCCGATGGTAATCACCAATTCCGTTGTAGGCTTTACGCCAGGAAAGAAGGGATCGTCGAACTGCAGAGTTGATCCAAATAGGCGAAAAGAGGGACATTCAAATGCAGGAAGCTGCCATTGAACGTGCTAAAAACTTTGACATACATGTCAAAGCTAAATACAGTATTTGGAGACGAGAATATGAAAGCCCTAATTCCGATTCCACTGTTAAACTCATGCGTGACCAAATCATAATGGCGAAAGCATATGCAAGTATTGCAAAAGCCAAAAATGCAACCGGAATCTATGATTCCCTAATTAAACATTCCAAAAGAAGCCAACAAGCAATTGGAGAAGCCACTTACGATAGCGAACTTAACTCAAGGTATTTCTATTTTCTCAATTTACCGTTTTACCCTTTAATTTTTCATTAAAACTTTCAAACGAATTTCTTCTTTTTCTTATTTGGGTTTTGTTGCGTTGACCAGTGCAGTTGACCGGGCTAAAGAAATGGGGCATATTCTATCTTTAGCAAAAGACCAATTTTATGATTGTATTTTAATGGCAAGAAAATTAAGGGTTATGCTTCAGTCAACAGAGTCAAACGTTGAAGAAGTGAAGAAAAAGAGTGCATCTTTAACACAATTAGCTGCAAAAACTGTACCTAAACCCTTACATTGCCTTCCTTTAGTTCTCACAACAGATTATTTCTTGCTAAGTGAAAAAGAAAAGAACTTTCCAGAAAGCAAGAATCTTGAAGATCCGAATTTATACCACTACGCGATATTTTCCGATAATGTCCTTGCAACATCTGTAGTTGTGAATTCGACTGTTTTACATGCAAAAGAGCCTGAAAAACATGTTTTTCATATTGTGACAGATAAGTTAAACTTTGCAGCCATGAAGATGTGGTTCTTGGTCAACCCTCCTGGAAAGTCAACGATCCAGGTTCAAAATGTGGATGAGTTTACTTGGTTGAATGCCTCTTATTGCCCTGTTCTTCGTCAGCTTGAATCCTCTAGGATGAAGGAGTATTATTTTAAGGCGCACCAGACATCGACATTGACAGCTGGATCGGATAATTTGAAATATAGGAACCCGAAGTACTTATCGATGTTGAATCATTTGAGATTTTATCTTCCTCAAGTGTACCCAAAGATGGAGAAGATATTGTTTTTGGATGATGATATTGTGGTTCAGAAGGATTTGACACCGTTATGGAGTGTTGATTTGGGAGGGATGGTGAATGGTGCTGTGGAGACGTGTAAGGAGAGTTTTCATCGGTTTGATAAGTATTTGAATTTTTCTAACCCTAAAATTTCGGATAATTTTGATCCGTATGCTTGTGGTTGGGCTTTTGGGATGAATATGTTTGATTTGAATGAGTGGAAGAAACGCGATATCACTGGAATTTATCATGGCTGGCAAAATATGGTAAGACAATAAACTCTTATATATGTGCTTTAAGTCTGTGTTTTGTTATACAGGACATGACTTTAATAGTCAAGCTTTCTAGGGCTATTTTCGATGATCAGGATGAGAAGGGCATTTATGTCTTTTTACATAGACGAGAGACCGAGAGTGGATCCCTGTTCTACCTTTTTGGGTGGTACAAAAAATTGCAATTTTTGTCCCACTAACATCAATCTCAGTCCTAGTCCGATGCAAGACATTTGTTATGTCTATGTCCTATATAACAAATGGGCCCATTTGTTACTTAAAATAGGACAAACAACGTGTTGCATTGGACTGGGACAGAGACTGATGTCAATGAGACAAAACTTGTAATTTTTTGTCCCACCCAAAAAGGTGGTACAAAGATTCGCTCTCGGTTTCTCGTCTATGTAAAAAGACGTGAATGACCTTCTCATCCTGATTATCGAAAACAACCCTAGAAAGCTTCCCATGTAACAAAACACTGCCTAATGGTGGATTTCATGATGTTGATAACTAAGAAATATTTGGTTTGGTAGAATGAGGAAAGGACTCTGTGGAAGCTTGGGACGTTGCCACCTGGACTGATAACATTTTATAACCTGACGCATCCATTGGAAAGGAGCTGGCATGTGTTGGGGCTTGGATATGATCCGGCTCTTAACCAAAGTGAAATAAAGAATGCGGCTGTGGTACATTATAATGGGAACTATAAACCATGGTTAGATCTTGCGATTGCTAAGTACAGGTCTTATTGGTCAAGGTATGTGAAGTTTGATAATCCGTATCTTCAACTTTGTAACATTAACAGCTTCATGTTATCATGATATTCTTGTCTCACATTTTTGCTTCTTAGTATATGAATTACATGTAACAAAATTTGTGCACAGCATGAGCATCATATAACGTGATTTACATATTTGGGATGGAGTCGCATGTTTTATACTTCTGATGTTTGACTTTTGTCTTGATAATCTTATGTTTTTCTTAACAATCATATAACTAGAAAATTTTAAGGTAAAATTGGTAAAAAAAAAATGGTGGTTGAATGAGTATTGAAATGCTAACATCTCATTCATTTGCTTTTATTGTCATTTTGTTAAATAAAATTTATTTTTAATAATCTACATACCGACAACCAAAAATATATTTTAAAATTAAGAGAATTATAAAAGGTTGTCATTGATTTTTACGTGTAGAATACTTTACTCATTAGTCAAGTGTGCATGATGTTGAAGGCATCTCAAAAGCCTTGATGTAATAAAGTAGTAAGGCAGGGGCATTTTCGTCATTCTATTAGATTAGGTCTGTTTGTGCGAGTATTAATAGGAGGTCGATATCAGGAAATTGGTATCTTGAAACGTATTTTGTGAGAAATCATTTTGGCACTTGGGAGAGATGTTGACCTTTGGTGTCAAGAATAGTTTGTATTCTTTCGATTATATCTTCGATCATTCAATAAACTTTTCAATTTAAGAAAGTAAACCCTAATGTGTACCATAAAACATAAGCTAGAATTGAGTTGTGATTGGTTGGATCCTAAAGCCGATGATGAATTAAAGGGGGAGAAAGGAGGAACACATGCAAAAGAATAAAAAGCTCAATAACAAAAAAAGTTGAAGCTGAAGGAGCTAAGACAAAAAACCTAGTTTCAGCCAACTCAACAACATTGTAATACAAATGATGGATAATGTGAATACGAGGACGAGACTTTGAATTACATGAACCTATGATAATACACTTCACTATATGATTATAATAAATATGTAACTTTAGGGACATTTGTCACACCCTATGTTCCTAACTATCTAATTTTCTCGTCCATCCCAATTGTCTCCAATTTAGAGAAGTTGAAACATTTTTTTTAGAAATCCTTAATGTTTACTCCTTCATATTTAAAAATTTATTTTATTTTACTCGTGCAATACATAAGTATTAAACCTAGTTAAGAATACGATAGCACACCATAGATATTATGGAATTTTCAAGATGATTTGAAATTATCTTCTCGATCAAGTCTTTATGATTCACTTCCCAAAGTGGAACATGTTTCCAAATATACATGACCCACTTCATACGACTTGCGTGCGAATCACTCGAGATGTTTCCCAAGACATTAATGTCACACCACCCAATGTAATCACAAGTACTTGCAACATGAAAGTCAATTACACATGTATCTTTGCAAAATATAATCAAGGCATCACTAAATAAACAAATAATTTGAATCCTATTACTAATTAAATTATCTCAGATTCTAATGAACTCAGATTTGCAATCTTTAGAATTATTCTAGGCCAGACTTCATGATACAATGATCTAACGACAAATATCGACCACCATCTAAATACACTATCCGATAAATATTTGAAGCTATTCAACACAAATCTTCATGACACAAGGATCTAGTGAAGTTCCAATAACATTGTACATCTCGAGGTGATGTCTAATTTAATATTTGATATGATTTGTTGATTTTACTAATTTATATGAAATAACACTTTTTTAGTAAATAAAATAGTTAGTTTAATATAAAACTCATTTTTTTTTTCAATTATAGAAATAAAATGGTTAATATTAATGATCTAATATATACAATATTTTATTCAAACAATAATCATTACATATCTAAAACAAACTTCTTATATGATAAAAACAACAAAATTGCATAAAAGAATACGAAGAGCAAATAATATCAGTCCACCAAAACTCAAGACGTTGCTCGAGAGACTGAGCTTGGGATATTGAGATTGTAAGATGAGACGCGAAGAAGGACCAAATGATGGTAGGTGAGCAATCGTAATGATAATTGTAAGTTATATATATTCTATTAAGAAAATGAGAAATCACACATTGGAATTTATTAAATACATATGATGTCTATTATAAACAATTATCACATATAATCATTTTCCAAACAAATGCTTTATTTGATTTAAACATAAGCAACAATAAGCTCGAATCATTACTCAAATCCATCAAATTACTATTATTATGTTTTGTTTGGAAAAGTAGCAAATTAATTTTCTTGGGTTGTCCCAATTTTTGAATGTGGGCTCACCGATTTTGACCCTTTTTCCCTTTTAATTTAATAATAAATCAACCGATTTGGCAACTCATCTATATCTTCTCCATCTCAATTCACAAATCTTTTATAGTACTTCGTTTCAATCGCGGTTTGTTTATGTGGAATTGCGGATTCCGTTTCTAGTATTAGGGTTTTTGTTTAATGGGTGTCGAGGGAGAGTCAACTCAAACGGGTGTCTCCACCGTTGACGGTGGCGATGCAGAAATCGCCCTCAACATCCGATGCTCTAACGGCAATAAGTTCTCGGTGCGAGCGAGCCTCGGATCAACCGTCGTCGATTTCAAAGATCTCTTGGCTCAAAACTGCGATGTCCCTGCCAATCAACAGAGGTTGATTTATAAAGGAAGAATCCTCAAGGATGATCAAACCCTAGATAGTTACGGTAAACACTTTTCTTAATCAATTCCGTTATTCGATTTGCGAAGATGTTATCGAATTTATCTGGTATATTTTGTTGACGATTCTTATATTGTTCCGATTAAGTTTCGATGTTGCAAAAAAGAGGTTATCTGCCTGAAACTGTTCTATAGTTCTCCATAGACTCATACATTGCAAATCTAACAAAAGCAGTAACCTTGATCTAACATGTTTACTGTTCTGTTTATAATACTCCGTTAGTCCCTTACGTCCAAACAAAAGCTATAATTTCACTTGAAGACAAAGAGAATACTTTTCATCTCCTAAGATAAGGATTTAATGTTCCTAAAACAAACCCTAGAAGATTAATACTACAAACTGTTGATGATTTTGGTTTACTACCTAAGTTTTCATTTATACTTCTATCTGTAGGCCTGCAGGCAGATCATACAATTCACATGGTGCGTGGTTCTGCTCCTGCTCCAGCTGATGCTCCTCCTGCCATTGGAAACCCTAATACTCCATCACTTGGTTCTCAAGGTGGTGTTCCCAATGAAGGGCTGGGCTTAGGAGGTCCTGGCTCAGGTGCACCCCTATTTCCTGGCCTTGGTTTTGGTGGACTTGGTGGCTCTGGTGCACCCTTTGGGTCTGGACTACCTGAATTTGAACAAGTTCAGCAACAACTAACCCAAAACCCAAACATGATGAGAGACATGATGAACATGCCAGCTGTTCAAAACATCTTAAACAACCCTGAAATCATGCGTGGAATGATCATGAGCAACCCTCAGATGCGTGAAATCATTGACAGAAACCCTGAGCTTGCTCATATCCTGAACGACCCTGCAATTTTAAGACAGACACTTGAAGCTGCAAGGAACCCTGAACTTATGCGTGAGATGATGCGTAACACTGATAGGGCCATGAGTAACATTGAATCATCTCCTGAAGGCTTCAACATGCTTAGACGTATGTATGAAAATGTTCAAGAACCTTTCTTGAATGCCACAACAACTGGTGGAACCACAAATGATCCCGGGTCTAACCCGTTTGCAGCCTTACTTGGGAACCAGGGTCCTGCTGTTAATGTTAACAACAACAACAACAACAACCCTGAAACAACTCCAGGCTCTGCAGCTCCTAATTCTAACCCACTTCCTAACCCTTGGGGTGCCCCTGCTGGTATAAAAGACATTATAAATTTCACATTTAAGACCTTTTCTTTTCTTTTCTTTTTTTAACTATTATATTCTATCTATGCTGAATGTTAATAGGTGGTGTTCAGCCAACAAGGGCACCGAATGTATCTGGGTTAGGTGGTCTTGGTTTACCAGGGGCAGACAGGACAGGTGGCATGCCGGACATGAGCCAGCTGTTGCAGAATCCAGCTGTTTCTCAGATGATGCAAAGCTTGCTTTCAAATCCCCAGTATATGGAGCAGGTATGTTATATATGATACACTATGGTTGAGGTATTGAGTTTTTTATAATTTTTTTTAATGGTGGTATCGGTGATATGAATTTGTAGATTGTGAGTCAAAACCCTCAACTTCGCAGTATGTTCGATTCTAACCCTCAGTTGAGGGAGATGATGCAGAATCCAGAGGTGCTTCGTCAGTTAACTTCACCTCAAATGATGCAGGTATATATGTTTTGGAGTAATTTTGGTTTGTTTTTGTTAACTTTGAGTCTTTGACTGATGGAAATTCGAGTTTGATGATAACTTGATTTATTTTATACAGCAAATGATGTCTTTACAGCAGCTTCTACCTCAGCTTAATCAACCACAATCAACTTTGTAAGTGGAAATCAATTTTTTTACTGTAACTGATTTGATTCAAGTGCCAAAATGATCCAATTAAGTTGGTATTTATGTATTAAGTAAAAAAGAATCACTTGAATGTATCTATTATTAAGTCATGAGTTGGTAAAGTAGCTGAAGGGTTACTGATGTTGTCTGTCTGGATCAACTGTTGTATACATGAGGCCTGTTTCTTTTTCTAAATGACCATTTTAACCTTCCATTTCAAAAAACAAATTTCACAATATTCGTCAATTTTAAGTGCTCAATCTATTAATTTTTCTGTTTCAGGAATCCTACTCAGACTGGTGCTTCTCCAGGTACTAACTAGAAACCTCCATTGTTAATAATTTTTATAAATCATATGCCATTTTAGTATTATTTCAAGTTTTTAATCTGCAGGATCACAAAACAATATGGGATTAGACATGTTGATGAGTATGTTTGGTGGACTTGGAGCTGGTGGCATGGGAGTCCCAAATGTTCCTGATGGTAAGTCAAGTTCTTTTGTAAATTTACGTTTTTACCCCTGAACTTTTATTTATGATGATGATGATGATGATTGTTTTTAATTTGTAGTGGCACCAGAGCAACTTTATGCAACTCAACTGTCTCAACTTCAGGAGATGGGGTTCTTTGATGTGCAAGAGAATATTAGGGCTTTACGTGCTACTTCGGGCAATGTTCATGCTGCTGTTGAGAGACTTTTGGGAAACTTTGGTCCATGATGGTGATGATGTGGCATTCTTTTTGTTTTATTTAAGGATGACCTGTTGGGGCATGTAATGTTAGTTGGTTTTTTCTTTAAAGTATTCTTTGTGGACAAAGAAAGGGAGGGAGGGATGTTGGATTTTGTGTTTTGAGGGGGTGGTGGGAGTGTGAATAATGAACAGACTAGAAAGAATTATTATGGTTGGTGGAGTTTAAATTATTGGTCTCCCTTGAACAAATCTTTTGTTGTTTATGTACAAACAGATTTCATAGTTTATTGCTGCTGTTTTTTTTTTTTTTATCATGTTTCTTTATGGATTTCATTTACTCATGTATGCATCATCTTTGAAATGATTTGAGGAGACATGTTGATTCATGGATTTTGACTTTAGGGGATTTTTCAAAACTTTTGCAAAAAAAGCTGTGAAAAAGGTTCATTCCCCTGTTGTGGGAGGGAGCTTCTTACTCGAATCTTTTTCAACCAAACTTGTAAAATCACAATTTCTTGGTTGAACATTTTTTTTATTGTTATGGTAGGTCTTGTAGTTTTAGAGCCAATTATTGATAACCAACCCATATAAAAAACAATAAAATATTATAGATCAAAATTAATGTGTAATTAAAAGTTAAACGATCTTAATCCATAGGTCTTGCTATTAACCCTTATATGTATTCCCATAGTTTTGTTTTCCTCGTATATAATTATACACTTAGTATTCCTTTCTAAGCTCTAAAACCCTAACTTTTAGTTAACGGGTAAACATTGATGTTCTTGAACTAAAATATGTAATATATGTGCATTCATATATAAATATTACAAATATACCATTGATGTTCTTGAACTAAAATATGTAATATATATGTGCATTCACATATAAATATTACAAATATACCATTAGGGATGACAAAAATATCCGAACTCGGACACTTTTGGGATGGTTATGGTTATGAGATCGGGTATGCGATTTCTTCTAAATTTTTTTGTAGGTTTGATGATATTAGAGTTATACCCGTCCGATTACCTGAACCCATTTATCCGTCCCTATCTCCATCCCCGAACCATTTATAGTTTATGATATTATATTTTTATTATTAATATACATATGATTTTGGAAATTATTTTACAATATTATATGTGAAATTAGAAATAGAAAGTTTGTTATGTAATTACGGCTTACTTCTTAATATGAAAATTGTTAATATTATTTTTAATATTTACGTTACGACTTTGATTAGTTTATTATGAAATACGAATACCATAATTTTTGTATGGTCATGATTATATTAATGTAAGATTTGTTAGAAATTAAACTTATTGATATTGTTAGAATTGAAATTATTAAAAGAATACAAGTAATTTTTTGAGTCAGGCTATGATCGGATTTTAAGTAATGAAAGTTTTAATGGCTAAAATTTAACCTATTAAAATCATAAGTAAGATACTCGATACCCATAAGAGCCATAAACCTGTGATTATTTATTGGGAAAATGACTTATTAAGGTAATTAACTTTTCGGTATGTTCACATCTGGGTAACAATCTTTTTTTTGTATACATCTAGGCAACAAACTTGTTGGAAGTGTTCACATATGACCATTATGACCTGCTATAGCAGGTTAAATCCTAGATGTGAACACTTTCAACAAGTTCGTTACCTAGATATGTACAAAAACATAGTTACCCAAATATGAACAAAACGAAAAGTAAAAGTAAATTACACGAATGGTCCCTGTGGTTTGGGGGAATTTGTGTTTTTAGTCCTAACTTTTTTTTTAAATCTGATGGTCCTTACTGTTTATTTTTGTTACGCGTTTGGTCCATGTCTTACCTAAAAAGACTATTGTGCCCTTATTAATTTATTTTTTAATTAATTTTCTTATTTATGTATTTATTTTTTATATATTTAAAAAAATTAATAGACCCCACATATCTGTATCTCCTCACCATCCCATCTCTCATCTTCCTCAACTTCTATTTATTTTCCATCTTTAGTGATATCGACGTCTTCATCATCCCTTCTTTTTTCGGTCCTTCAACTCCGTCGAATCAACACCACAACCCAGTAAAGATGAAGAGACAGTAGGTTATGGTGTTGGTTCGCCAGAGTTGAAGTACCAAAAGAAGAAGGATGATGAAGACGTCGATGTTACTAAAGATGGAAAAGAAATAGAAGTTGGGGAGGATGAGAGATGAGATAGTGACCGGTAAGACCCAAATTAAAATTTTCAAATGTGGTTTCAAGTTTACGGTGAGGAGATACAGATATGTGGGGTCTATTAATTTTTTTAAATATATAAAAAATAAATACATAAATAAGAAAATTAATTAAAAAATAAATTAATAAGGGCACAATAGTCTTTTTAAGTAAGACACGGACCAAACGCGCAACAAAAATAAACAGTAAGGACCATCCAAATTAAATTTCTCAAATGTGGTTTGAGGTTTATGGTGAGAAGATACAGATATGTGGGGTCTATTAATTTTTTTAAATATATAAAAAATAAATACATAAATAAGAAAATTAATTAAAAAATAAATTAATAAGGGCACAATAGTCTTTTTAGGTAAGGCAGGGACCAAACACGTAACAAAAATAAACAGTAGGGACCATCCGAGTTAAAAAAATAAGTTAGGGACCAAAAACATAAATTCCCCCAAACCACAGGAACCATTCGTGTAATTTACTTTTACTTTTCGTTTGGTTGGTAACGAACTTGTTGAAAGTGTTCACATCTAGGATTTAACCTGCTATAGCAGGTCATAATGGTCATATGTGAACACTTCCAACAAGTTTGTTACCTAGACGTGTAAAAAAAAAAGATAATTATGCAGATATGAACATACCGAAAAGTTAATTACTCATTTCCCTTGTTTATTTAACCTGGGTATCCATAAGGGATAAAGACCGAATTCGGATACGATTATATACTGAGATCAACAATACCTCTCTAAGTACACATATATACCATAAATGTCAAGGAAAACATACCAACATTGGTGGCGTTAATCCTTTTATGGATCTTATATAAAGAACCAAGATCAATTCCGTCAACGCACATGTTTTAACGGCAAATTAACGAACGCCTTTCCAATCCACACGCCAAACCTTCCTTCTCTGCCACTTTACAGACCCAATTTCTCTGCTTTCCAATCCTCCATTGCTCTCAAGGTAAGATTCTCTCTTTCAATTCCATTAAATTTTCCATTTCCTAAGAAGCGCACTCATTCATACCCTCATAGGCTTTGAATTTGTTCCCGTTAGGTTAGCTGTTGATGTAATGGAACATCTAAATCTCCTGAATTATTTTAAAAATCGATGAATTTTGCTCCCTTCTGTTATCGATTTCTTAAATGCTTTTCAAACTTCTTTTGGGAATTTGATGGCAATTCGTATAGATAGATCTCGTGAACTGCTAATGCTTATTATTTGTTTGATTGGGTGATTTCTAATGGATGTTGTCTTTGTGTATGATTCTCAAAAGGATTTGTGACATATATACCTTCAAAATTCAAATCACATCTTATGAAGTAACTCTATGTTAAACAATTGATTTCAATTTCAGAAAATTGGAGTGCAAAATCTGGGTTTCCAAAGTAGGCTTTTTGAGATTTGAAAGATGAGAAAAGGACCATTGTGCCCTAGCCAGAGTGCCTAATGAATAATGAACTCTCCTCATCAACAAACCCCTATCAGAAATAATGGCCTGCATCTGGTCTATGTACGCAGAAAACCAGAATCAGAACATCATAAAAACACCATCTGTAACAACAAATCAAAACATCTACCAATTACACTATCTGAACAGGATGACAACAATCAACAACAAGAACAAGAACAAGAACAAAAACAATCTCCCATGAAGGATTCACCAATACATATTCCAGAGCCTTCTTCTGCACTTCCTTCAGTAACCAATATCACCTCCAATTCTCATAAATTGGATTATACAAAGAAACTGAGTGTTCAGAATTGGGAAGAGAGATACGTTCTGTTGCAAAACTTTTTGAAGGCTGTTGATCAATCAACACAAGATGATTATCTCCAGAGTATGTGCTTGAATGCATTTAGTAATTTTTACATTTTCATGTTTGCAAATTTTGATCCCTCAGTGACAGTGTTAATCTTATTTGGTAGTGCTTCACTCTCTCTCCTCAGTTGACCTTAGTAGACTTGCAGTTGAACTAGAAAGGAGAACGATTCGACTCTCAACGGAAGAAGGTAATATTTATCTGTAACCTTTATGTTAACAAAAAAAAGGTAAATTGGGGTGGAAAAGGTGTCAATATACATAAAAAAGAAAAACTCTATTCATGTGTGGCTATTGGCTAAAAGAACATTTGGAGATTTCATTCCCCACTTTGATATAGAATTACACCATTTCAAGCTTCACACCGGGAAACTTCAAAGAAATTAAATACCAATAATAAATCCTAACACACACGACACGAACACCATTTGTCTAAAGTTTGCATCATTTTGTGTGTATTTGCAGCAAAAGAGATCCAACGTGCAAAGATTTTTGATGCCCAATGGATAGCCGACTCAAACAAGTGAAATGACATGCAAAACTTACTACTGATACGTATAGTTTTTTTTTTTTGGTTCTTAGAAGTCCTTGATGGAATTGTTAATAATTGCTATATTTTTATTTTTATTTTTACAATTGAATAGTCATTATATTTCCATGTGATGGTATTGATTTGTAAATAATATACTGAGCGTGTTAGGATAAGGTTTGGGTACTGTTTTTAATCTAAATAAGAAAGAGTACATTTACATGTATACAACATTTTATTTTGTTCTAAATTTATATAACAAGATGATATTTTATTTATACGGAATGTAAAAGGACAGTTTCATTTTAGGCCATGCACATACAATTAACATTTTATTGGTAAAGGGTAATATGTTTAATTAGTTAAAACATGGCTGCACATTCGTGTCTACTGTATAAATTGGTAAAAAAAACAAAATATTGTGGCACAAATTGATAAATTCTTATATAAATTTATAAAAAGTACAAAATATCACTGCATAAATAAATATCCAATGAGTGCCATGTCGTGATCTAAAAAACCTTTTTTTTGTGTGTTGATCAGTAAAAACAAATGTTATTGCGTAAATGCACATTAAACTGTGAAAAAAAAACAGTTAATCAAATTGAACTGCATGTAATTATATATTTTTTAAAGAGAAATAGAAACAGTATATTCTATACTAAATACCAACGAGGAAAAACTCTATATTGCGTATAAAGGTTAACCATTAACCATTAACGAAGGTTAATAGATAAATCAGTATTAAATGAGAGATGAAGGGTGGTGACTGTAAATACAAAGAACAACCTCCGAAAAGCGTGGCCCAGTCTCATCTTCCCGGAGTCCATAGCTCCAAAAAGATAAACATCAAACATAACTGAAAATAACTACCCCTCTCTCTCTCACACACACTTACTGTGTGTAACCGTCGCCACCACCACCACCTTAAGTAACCCCATCGGCCACTTCTTCAACTTTTTCCCATCTCTCTCTGTTAGCAACCACATTATGAACACACACACGATCATGGGTGCCACCACCTCCACTACTTCATCGGACTTACAACTCTGCCCTGCGTCCCCTGATGCTCAAGAGATTTTCCGGCCAACCCTTGACACCTCCGACATCTCCGTCGGCCACATCCAACCCATCACCACCATACGCCCCCACCAACAAAACCCCAGAAAGAAACGCACAAAGATGATCCGATTCCACAACAGCAAAGCCATTGTTGGCGTTGCAGGCGGCAGTTCAACTTCCGGCAACCATTCCGGCATCATCACAAAGAAAAAACCCGACCCAAGTGCTCCAAAAATCACTCGTCCCTGTACTGAATGTGGGAAGCGGTTCTGGTCATGGAAAGCCCTCTTCGGCCACATGCGTTGCCACCCTGAGCGACCATGGCGGGGAATCAACCCACCGCCAAATCTCCACCACCACCAGCCGCCGCCGGATAATCACGATTTCACCAATGTAACAACTGAAGAAGACGAATATGTGGCCGCATGCTTATTGATGCTCGCTAACTCCACCACCACCACCATAGCCGCTCATCCATCCACCAGTCACCACCACCACCAGGATCCGGATACCCGATTTGAGTGCTCGAGTTGCAAAAAGGTATTTGGGTCCCACCAAGCGTTAGGCGGGCACCGGGCAAGTCATAAGAACGTGAAAGGCTGTTTTGCAATAACAAGAAACGATGAAGTTGAAGATGGAGAATTTGAAGGTGTAGATAACAACATGAACATGGTGATGGTTTTGGGCAGCGGGCAGCAACACAGATGCAGCATTTGCTCAAAGATCTTTTCAAGCGGGCAGGCACTCGGTGGACACAAACGATGTCACTGGGAGAAAGACGACGCCGTTAATACACCAATAACAACACCGTTTAGGTTCGATCTGAATTCACCCCCACCTAATGATCATCATTCCACGTTTCCAATTTCAGATTTAGATTTAAGATTAAGCCTTTAAATTATGGGTGTATTGTATTATATAATATTATTATCTGTTTTATGTATATCTATACACATATATACGATGATCATCTGTACTTATGTAATATATATAATCAATGATCCATCTTCATAAACTCATGCAATTCTTTAACCGTATCACGTATTTCATCTAACAAAACTTGATTTCTATCTCCTGCAACAAACCTACAACTCTTATTATTCACATTTATCATACTAAATCCAGCCACAATCTTAACTTCTTTATCTCTCATCAACCCTCGAATCCTTGCAACATCTTCCCAAGATCCCAATTTAGCATACATGTTTGATGCAAGCATGTAACCATTTGAATTATTGGGTTCCATTTCAAGAACACAAGACACCACCTTTTCTGCAATTCTTTCATTGAAGCTCAACCTGCAACCACTCAACAATGCTCCCCAAGCACTCGCACCACCTTTCTCATGTCCTTCCACCATTTTCATTGCAAGATCAAGATTCCCACTTCGACTTAATAAGTCAACTAAACATGAGTAATGTTCTACACCAAGTTTGACTTCTAGGGTTTCGGTCAACTTCCGGAAAAGTGATAGCCCTTCGTGTACTAAACCTCCATGGCTGCATGCTGATAACACGGAGAGGATGGTTATGGAGTTGGGCTTTACACCATGTGTTTCCATTTCGGTGAGTAAAGATAGAGCGGAGTGAGGAACACCGTTCATACCGTATGCCCCAATCATCGCACTGTATGACACAACGTTTTTATTCGAAATGATTTCAAAAACCTTTTTTGATGTCATTATATCGCCATATTTCGCGTACATATCCAAGATTGAAGTCCCAACAATTGCATCCGATGCAAACCCTAATCTGATCGCGATCCCATGACCCGATTTTGGTAATTTTAAATCAGAATCATATGAACATGCTTCGATGAGATTCAACATAGTGATGGCATTCGGTTTATGTTGTGACTCAATCATCATCTCATGGAAAACCCTAATTGCTTCATGAGGGAATCCACAGTATGTGAAAGCTGCAATCATTGTGCTCCAAGAAACAACATCGTGGTTCTTGATCAAACTGAAGAGTTTATGTGCGATGAATATAAGATTGCATTTTGCGTATGTGTCAATTAGAGTGTTCACTACTAACTCATTTAACTCGTGGTTTCTTCGGATTATCACAGTGTGTATGCTTTTGCAAATTAAAGGATCTGTAAAATGTTTGCATATTTGTAGGAGGTTCACCAATGTGACTGCATCGGGGTCAATTTTGGCATTTTGCAATGAATCGAAAAGATGAATGGCTTCAGAATGCTTCTCGTTGTATACTAATCCGGATATGATAGAGTTCCATGAAATGATGTTTCTAAGAGGGATTTCTGTAAAGGATTGTAATGCGGAATCCGTATCATTGCATTTGGAATACATATCAATCAAAGAGTTTGCTAGAAATGTGTCATGATGAAAACCTTTGTGAAAGATGAATCCGTGTAATGTTCTTCCTGTAATAAGATTCTTTAAATTGGTGCAGGCTTTGAGGGCGCTTAGGATTGTTTGCTCATCTGGTTCAGGTCCGGATTGTGATAACATTTTCTTGAAAATCTCTAGAGAAAGATGGGTTTTGTTAGTTTTAACATAGCCTGAGATCATGACACTCCAAGTGATAACATCTCTGTTTGGCATTTCATCGAACAGCTTCTGTGCATACTCCATTGTCGTATCTGCATACATGGATAAAAGAGAGTTTTGAAGTGAAGAGATGGCTAGAAACTCGGTTTTAATCATATACCCATGGATTTTCTGTCCTTCGTGTAAGGCTTTGAGTGTTCGAATTGTTTGAATTACAAGGACTAAGGTGGAGACATTGGGTTCAAATCCTGTTGCTCTAGCTTGAATAAACGAACGTGTTCCTTGATCCAAATCACCATGATCAATCTGCCCAGAAATGAGAATATTCCATGAAACAGAATCCCTGATCTTCATGCAGCCAAAGAGGCTAATTGTGGAACTCATATCCCCAGCTTTTGTATAGAAGTCCATGATAGAGTTTCCAATAGATGTGCTTGATTCCACTCCGAGCTTAATTACAGATGCATGAAGGGACTTCCCATGTGCCAAAGATATTGCCGAACAGGCCTTTAAAATCGGATGGAACCATGAAGGTTCTGTCAATCGAACACCTGCTTTGTTCATGTCATTGTATAACGACAATACATCTTGCCATCTCCCACTAAACGACGACTCTTTGATCTTTGAAACCCAGTTGGAAAGTTTTGAACTTGATATAACGGCTAAATGATGCATAGCCCAAAAGAATCAAAACTAATTTCAAATGTTAAATTTTCACAACAAGGCGATACGATTTGTGGTGGTTTCCAAGCCTCCGATCTAGTACAGCCGTGAAACATAGGCGACACCCGCCTGTATAAAGAAAGTCACCTGCCAAATATAATATACCATGTTTTAACAAATATTCTAACAAAATCAATTTTAAAAATCGGTTTTTTAGTTGAACCGCTGTGACGATCGGTTACCGGTTCAATCGGTTTAACCGGTTCGACTGGTTTCTATTTTCAAAAATTAACCAATCGTCCATCGTGCACATGCCAGAAAGCGTGTTTAGTCATTATTTTCAAAAATTAACTCGGACCGTTACTCGGGTTGTTTTTTCTTGCATGCTTAGTCCCTCCGCACATAAAAAGACCATTTTGCCCTTGTTTGTTTCTTTTTTTGATTTGTTTATTAATTATTAATTAGTAATTTATTAAAAAATTGTTTAATTAAATATAAACACCACCACCACCATTATTATATCTCTTATCTTCTTCTTTCTCAACTCCGACAACCACCACTAGAAACCACCACCTGTCACCACCGTTAACCACCACCATAAACCACCATATGTCACTCCTATTTCTCTCCCACCTCCTGCCACCATCCACCTATAGCCACCAGCCACCTCCGGTGCCTCCACCTATCACCGCTAACACCTCATGAACAACCGCTAGTCAACTACAACTAGAAACGACCATCTACCACCACTTAATCAAACCAAACCAAACTTGAAACCCTAGGTGGCATTCGAAACCCTAGGCGATGGTGTTAAAGAAACCTCAGATTGGAACCCAGATACAGTGAAGGTGGTGATGTTCCAACCATGAGACGATGAAGGTTCGAAGCAACTCACCTCTGAGACAAAAATGGTACACATCATCCTCCAGATTTGTGATTTTTGACGCACTACCACCTTCATCTCCCGATTTGA